AAGAGCATCCCCTCTGCTCATTGCAGAGTTGTCCCATGAGAAAGCAATAACATTAGTGAGCCTCCTTTTTGTGCACTAACTTTGCTTAATGTCTGCATCCAGGCTGTTGGTAGTGCTGCAATGGGATTGAGTTTATCAGATAATTTTAAAAACCCTCCACTTTTTCCTGTTTTCATTCTGCTCATGATTAAAATAACTGTTTTTTCTTTTATAAGATTATTTTTCTCCTGAATGCCATTTACAGAACAAGCTCAGCATTAATATAGTGAACCATGACCTAACATTTTTTCCCTTTTTTTGATCAAACCCAGGTAGTTAATCTTGTTATCTATGTGACTGCCAGAAGGCAGAACATGTGGTTGCTCTTAAAATGTACCTGAATAACACAGTTTGTACAGTATTGTCTCAAGGGTTTTCCTTAGATTTTTCTTTTTCCATAATTGATTCTTTCTGTATGAATTATATGCCATATACCTGTGAATTATGATTAAATGATCCACTAGCACCCACTAAAAGTGATCACACATTGAACTAAACAGAGAAGTAATACTGCCTTGTTTTTTTTTTATTTTTTTTTTTAAAAAAAAGAGAGAAAAGAAAAGAAGAGACTGCAAGAGGGTGTTTTTATTTAAATGGAAATCAGATGATCACTGGGCTAAGAAGAAGAAACTGTACACAAGTCAGCTCCAGATGTCTTCTTTCCTGACAGCTCCTTTTCTCATCTTTTTTCTGAATGATCAATTCTTTCTCCTTGGCAACCAGCAGCCCAACAAAGAAAGGCTCTTCTAAAACATTTTGGTAAAACGTTTCTTTTTTCTTCTTAAGGGGACACATCCCTTCCTATGGCTTTCACACCATGCTACAGACATACTCTCCTTTCCTCCTCCTACCAGATAAAAGCACCACTGTGCAATCTCATTCAGTTCAGCTCTTTGCCACCATTATTATGATTTTTTTTTTTTTTTCATGTAACATCTGAGGCTTTCAAACAGAAATGATTGCTTCTGGGGAGCATCTTGCACTCTCCTTGGGAACATTCAGCTAATGGGCAGAGGAGGCAGCTCTTCCTGCTCCATTATCTTGTCTCTTGGGTGGCTGCTCACCTCCCAGACACATGGATGCTAAATGCTCTGGCTGCCATGTGATAGCAGATCTCTGGTGGAAATAACCGTGGAAGGGGAAAAGCCAGGGGATGAAAACATGAGTCAGATTTGGTTTTGCGTTTGTGGGTTTTTTTATTTATTTTTTTTTTTAATTTTCTCCTTTTATCCCTCAGGTGTATTGCTAGGTACTAAGCCTTCTGTTCTCCTCTTATGATCTTGCAAATGCATAACGTTTAATGTTTTAATGTGTTTTTTTTTTTTTTTGTAACGGCCTTTCACTGTCAGATTCCAACCTTTCTTTTAATGTAGATCCTCTACACTCTTGCTTTCCAGTGGAGTCACACACCTCTATAAATTGAATTAGAGACTCATATTGGGAGGCCCCTAAGGATATTTCTGTGCCAAGAATCTGGAACTGCAGCCCGCTTCTCAGGTCCAGTCAAGCATCATAAACACATCATAGACTAACTGAACTGTCTAGTAGCCATCACTGCATGCTGGGCATGCACATATTGTGCAAAGGATGTTCTGACAGTTTCATATACACAAAGATTTATTTGTGGGTTCCATAGCTGATAGCATACTTTGACTGTAACAGTGAAAGTTATTTCTAGAGAAAAATTAAAATAAATGAAGAAGAGAGAGAGAAAAGGGGAAAACTTTCCCCAGTGGTCAGTTAGGAAGGGCAATGATGGGGTCCCATAGGAGCATCCTCCTCTGAGGTCTCTCTCCAGTTCAGCAGGTGATGACAATGAAAATGATGAGGATGATAGTTTCTTACCGTGCTTTCTCTTGGCATTATATACTTTTTATCAGGACCCATTTAAACTCCCTATTGGTTATTCCTGGTTGTGATTGTATTAGCTCTGGGAGGAGAATGCTCATCATGTGCAAATGTTGCACATTCATTGCTTGTTAAGATTCTGTGAATGTATATTATTGGATAATATTTCTTGAGAATTTAAATAGCTGTTGGCTGCTTCGTTGAGCACCACATTTGTTTTCTTCCTTTATATACTAAAGTCTACAAAATGAGAGATAAAGAAGGAGAGGGAGGAGGGGCAATTCTCACAATGGTGTTTTACATGAGAATCCACCACAGTAAAGCTAGGGGGGTTTGTAGCGGCAAGGCTGTGAGAGCAGTAAGATGGGAACAGCACAAGTGCAATAAAGGAAAAATGTTGCCACAGAGACGCCGATAATTACTGCCTCGTGGCTTCAGAGAGAGGTTATGTAGCTGCAAGCAGCATGCCCCGAGCACTGCTGAGGCTAAAGCACCAAGGCACATAAGGCACCTTAGAGCTATCAGGAGCCTGGACACAGCCTGACACAAAGCCATGAATTCCAGTATAAAATCAAGGTCTCTGTCAAGAGGAGTGTTTAGCATAGGCAAGGCAGGGTGTGGCTGGCCAGGGAGATTTTCTAAGGCCATCAGAGGAGGAGAGGATGGCACAGCTCTGTCCCTAATTTAATCTCAGCTTCAGCTGTCTGTTTTGGAGGAAATTCACAATGCAAGGAGGCGTGCTTGCATAAATACCTCCTAACACCCTGGCTGGTGATCAGCTTAGGGCTGAGATTTGACCTTGCATAACTACCTGTTTTCTGTGAGGTCCTAAAATAATCCAGTCCTCTTTCAAATCCAGCCCTGATGGGTGACTTCTCTAGGACACCATCCGCTGCAGGATGTTGGCTCCCACCACAACATCCACCAAGGGATGGAAAGGAAAAGCTTCTTTCTTCCCTGCTGGGCTTGGGAGTGAAGGGGGTGCAGAGAAGACACCCCTGCTCCCTGGTGGCAGGGACCTTCTTCCCCTCACCCAGCCCTGTCCTCTCACTCTCCCCCTTCCACCCATTTAGCTCTTCCCCTCCTTTACTGAGCTGCTCTGTCCATCCTCAGCCTTTCTCACACTAGCCTCTGTTTTGCCCCTACTCTGTCATCCCCCGCCAAATCCTTTTTGTTTCTCCTTGCTCCCCCAGGGAAGTCGAGTCATCCAGAAGTGACATGTGAAATCTTTGTGCACCTTTGCGACTGGAGATGGGGGTTATGGGATTAGCACGTTAACCGTCCTGAAAGCTGCTTAGGCAAGCATTAAATCTCCAATCTTCTCTCCATCTTTCAAGAAAATCTCTTCTGGAGGAGCTGGAGAGATGGAGCACCCAGTCGTGTTTTCTGGGGTCAGCTCTTAGCCCATCTGAGAGCCCTCAAGTCCTGTGGCCAGGTGGTTTGAAAGGATTGCCAAGGGAGTGGGGGGTTGGGAAACCCAGCTAAACCCTTACTGGGAAGATTGGGGGGTTGGGAAACCCAGCTAAACCCTTACTGGGTGTTCTTTCCTTCCTTCCCACCCCATTGGTTGCACGGTCCTTTGCAGCTCTTTAGGGGGGGTGAGTGGCACCACATGTGTTAGGCACAGCAGAATCAACCTTAGGGTGCTGCCTTTTAAAGCAAATCCTGGGGTGCCTTGTGCCTGTGTTTTATTACATGGAGGGAATTAATGCTTCATTGCCTGCATTGCCCTGTTTATCCCACTAAACTGGGAGGCAGAGGAGGTAGCGCTGGGTTTACCAAGCAGTTGGGCGGCACCTCATGATGCAGTGAATGCCCCCTCAAATGTCAGGGAAAGGCCTCATGTCTGAGCTCCCTGACCTGTCACCTTCCCCACTCCTCATCACCTCGTGACTGCCTCAGGCCCAGATTACCTTCTCCCATTTCTGGAAGAGAAAAGATCTCTGCACATAGTGAGGAACACCATCTGGGGACACCAACGCGGGGGACAGCCATGGCCAAACCAGATGCTTATCTTGCAGCAGCTTTTGATGTGAATTTGCTGCACCATGAGGTTGTCTTTGCAGTGTATCACCTGTAGTCTTCCTGGAGACTGCATAAATATTGAGGGGGAGGCAAAGCTCATGACAGTGACAGGATTCAGCAATGTTATTCATTAGAGAGAAATCTAAGTTCGTAACACTAGGTATTGAGTTCAGTGCAAATGCAACTGAGTAGCTCCAAAACAAACCAGTTTACAAGAGCAGTACTAAAGATGATTACACTATTGGCCTCTTACAAGCGCAAAAATGGATTCCCTGCCCAGACTGAAATATTTTTTTTATTTTTCTACCCAGAGCTTCCAGTCTGGGAAATTTCAGCTTCAATTTAGACAGTTTTGGAAATTAAGAGTAGGAAAAAGGAAAGTATTCTAACAGGTGAGGGTTTCCTGAATTAGTCACTTCTAAAGGCCATAATATAGTACCTTTCCTCAATCACAACCACCTCTTCTGCAGAAGATGGGGATGACGTTTATCAGCATGCAGCAGCAATATACCACCAGTCTGAAAAATTCAGATCCAGAAATGCTGGACATATTATGGCAGCAACCCAAACCCAAATAGAAAAAAAAATGCCATGCCTAATTTTTCAAATCTTATGCTTTTTAAGAAATCTCAAGATTTGTTGGGTCCAATAAAGTGCTACAGAAGGTATATGACTGTTGAGAGTAAAGGCTGTGTGGTTGAAGGATATGCATTTAAAAATTTGCATATGCTTTTGGCTATTTATTTTAAATAAGTTTAGACACTAGTGGATGATCACATGTATTAATGTGGTCAACTAATTGTACAACCAGCTGTGACCAGTGGGGTCAAAGTAAATATTGTTTCCCAATGAAGAAAACATTTGAAATATTACCGTTTCTTTTGCAGTAAAGCAGGTACACTCTAGCTGTTGTCCTTGCCTCCTTCTGTCACCGCCATAAGAATTGGCTGGGGTTGGACAACATCTGCCAAGAGATGATCTTCATTGCATGGCATTGGTTTGACAGAGATTAAATAGCTGGTGGTAGGGATTTGCTTTCAGTGACGTTCTGCTCCAATGTAGTTCAAAACCCGCCCTTCTTCCAGCAGATTAGTGACGTGGTTCCCCAGCGGGATGTTAGATATGCTGACCCTAAGGATGATGCCCGGCTTCTAAGGACCCATCTGCTCCGCATGGTGCGTATCCAAGATCTGCAGTTCCTTCTCACCCCTCCTACCAGCAGGAAGATGAAGCACAGAGCAATAATATGATTTGACCATGATTACATACTGGCTAATTTCTAATCTAGGAGTAAAATCTGTTTCTCCTGTGTGCTAGGCAGACGTGTCAATTTAGGCTGAGTGTACATACTTAGGGTGGCATACAGCTATATATTTCTATACCTCTATGCACATTTGTGGATATACTGGTCTTGATGTATGCACACAGACATTTAGAAATAGTGTGCAAACAGCTACACAAAGACACAGGCATTCTGATACTTATCTCCAACTAGAAAAAAAATGAGAGGAAGGTAAACCCTACTGTCCTCCAGCAAAAATGATCATAATAAAGCTAGAATTATGATTGCACTAGTGTCTCAGTACACAGCCACTAAAACCAAGGAAATCTCAAGCCAAGACATGAGCGAACAGTAACCTCAACCCACACACTCTCCCAGCCAAAAGGATGTTCTGGTCTCCCAGTACAAATTAGGCGGTCTACTGAAATCAGAGAGTTAGTCCAGACAGCATAGGAACCAAGACAAGAAGATAATGTATGAGGTACAGGGGCTGCTTAAAAAGACCATTTCCTCAAAGCTTCCCATAGCTAACACATCCAACTCTTCACTCCTTTCCCAGGTCAAGACATTTCACGTGAACAATTTGAGCCACCATAACGTGGCATTGTCATTGAATTTGCTATGTCCTTTCCCCATCGCTATGCCACACAGCCTCTTCCCTTGTGCTGGCACAAGGTTTTGGCCACATTTGGCCACTGTGGTCAAGGATCAGGAAACCTATCTGGGTTTAAAACTCACCAGTATATACTTATGCATTTGTTTACATATTTTTGCCAGGTAGACTTTTAAACTCAATTCAGTGCTGTATTCAATTAAATTCTCTTGTGCTGGCCCCTTTGGGAGAGTTAGTGTAGAAGTGAAAAAGAGCAGCAGAGAATAAAATAATTTCTCTTCATGGAGAAGCTAATTCATGGAAGCTTAAAATATTTTTAAGGCTACAGCTCTTGCTAAATGGAAATCCATTGCCAAACAGGCATAAACTCTGTCCCTTGAAGTGCATGAGGTCAGAATCAAAGTGCCACCCATAACCTAAATTAAAGCAATGGTAGGCTGGGAAAATCAGTCCCTCTCCTTCAAGATCTGTCCATCCCTGAAGGATCCCTCTTACTCAGTTGTTTGCAACCTTTAAAAATTTGTGTATGATAAACGTTTTATAATGGGCATGCGGATCCAGGGCAGTGAATTTAAGCCCACTGACAATAGATTTGCTTTACTTATTTTGCTTCTGCAAATGCATTAAGAGCAGTCTATCAGTCATCACAGATCCAGATTTGTTGGTTGCAAACCAATGATCTAATTTGTTGTGCAGTGAGGACTGTATGTTTGAAGGATTTATGTGACTGAAGAACTAAGTAGGCACTCCGTGAGTGGAAAAGAAAGAGAAAATCTGCTGATATTTCAGAAAGGAAGTGGTGTAAAATCTTTCTGATCATTTAAGCACCCTGGGAAATGAGAGCTTGTTCTTCCTGAGGTAGCTGATCTTTGAAACTGCTTGTGTGAAAATGACTGGGAGTTGGGAACAATTGGATAATTAAGTGCAGCAGGTAGCATGTGTTAACCAGGAAAAAAGAAGTTCACCAGTAATAAACCCCATTTGCACAGTACCATGTTCCCCTACGTATGCAGGAATACACTCAACCTGATTTTTCACTTATTTTAATCTGTATAAATCAGGGCCAGCTTTTGAAACCGTCCTTAATTACACCAGGAAAATAAACAAAATAAAAGCCAGGCCTGAAAAACAAGGGTAACCCCCCCCACCGCTCCCCGGTCCCGGTCCCGGTCCCGGTCCCAGCAGCAGGCACCGACAGCCGCAGCCGGGCAGCACTCCTGCGTCCCTGGCCGGCCTCGGCTCCGCACACAAAGCCCTGCGCACCTCTGCGCAAAAAGAGCGCAGCGCCGGGCGGGCGGGCGCGCAGACAAAGCGGGGCAGGCAGCCGCGGAGCGCTGCAGCATGCGGGGCCGCGCAGGGCTTCCTCTGCGAGTGGGTTGCTGCTGCTGCTGGTGGCGGCGGCTGCTGCCTTTTTTTTTTTTTTTTTTTTTTTGCGTGTGAGTGTTATTTTTTTTTTTTTTTTTTTTTTTTTTCCTCTCTTCACCAACTTCCTTCCTGCTCCAACTGCCAAAGCTGAAAGCTCAGCGCTGAGAGCGGAGGAGGACCCCGGCCACAGGCGCCGCGCAGCCGGTGAGTAGGAGCCCCGGCGAGGGGGGAGCTGCCCAGGGGGAGAGGAGCGGGCTCACCCCCGGCTTGCTCGCTCCTGGCGCCGCGCAACTTTGCGCCTTTGTTCCCGGAGGCTGGCTCCGCTGCCCAGCCTTGCCCGGAGAGACGGGCAGGGCCCTGCCCGCATCCCAGGGGGAAGTCAGGCTCTGCGCTGGGATGGGGTGCAGGGCCAGAGGAAGGGGAGGCAGCCCCCGCGCCCCCAGGGTTGCGGGGGGGGCGGGGCCTAGGGGTGCTGGCGAGTGTATCCCTGCGGGGTGGTACCCGGCTGGGCAACGGGCTCCCCTTTTGCCCTCGCACCCCAGGGGGAGGGATGGGGAGATCAGGGCCGGGGGCGCTGGTGGGGCCAGTGTGTTACTCCCCCATCGCGGAAAATCGCTTCCTCTTTGCCGAACCCGCTTCCTGGAGATAAGCTCTCGATCAGGGGGTGGGTTGAGGGAGTGATGCGCAGAAGGAGGGCAAATAAAATGCTGCCCCTGTGACACCCTCTTTGTGCTCCATGGTAGCGTGTGGAGGGGCTGAGGAGGTGCCCACCATCCACCCCGTCTGCGGCTCCCCCACCCCCTCCTGCTGCAGGTGCAAGGGCAGCCACCCACCCCCGGCACAGGCAGAGCCCAGCTGAGATGCTCACACCCCCCGTCAGGGCATGATTCCTCCTTTGCCTCCTGCAGCCATCTCTCTTTCTCTCTGGCAGGGAGTCCCTAGCGCTGCCCCCACCACTCTCTTTGCTGCTTTGTGGGTGCTACCGGTCCTCGGAGGTGCAGGTGATGCACAACTGCTGGTTGGGACCGCACAAAAGCAAGAGAAATGTGGTGGGGCAGGGCACAAATCACCCAGATTTTTTGTTGCATAGAGCATTAATAGGGTTAATTTTGTCATTTTTAATGAGGCTCATGGCCTGAAGGCCATAGAGGGTGTCTCCATCTTAGCCCAGCCCTTGGCCTGAGCAGTGACACCGGAGCCCAGGAGCCCTGACAGTTGGGCACCAACATGGTCACACTGGGGAAGCTCTGGTGCCTGAGCCCAGTAGCATGTCTCAGCTTGCAGAAAAGACCAGTCCCAGAGCTGGAGCGAGTAGAGGTGGGGGCAACTGAGATGTGAGCTTTCCTTTTGGTCACCTCCTGCCTGGGATTTTGGCAGGAAGGCAGGGTCAGGTCCACAATGTGGGGAGAAATGCCAGAATTGGGTCTGATCGGTACCATCCTGAGATGCGTGTGAGCCAGGGGCTGTTCAGCCCAGACAGCCTGGCTGGTCCTGTTCCCCTCAGGCTCTTGCTGCTGGCACAGCAGGCTGCCTGTCCACTTCTCTGGGAGATTTTCAGACCCTAAAAGCATCCCCCTCAAGTAAACCACTCCCACGGGCTGGCAGGGAAAGTCTCTGCAGCATGTGTGATGCTAAGGGAAGGTCTGAGGGATGGGAAACAACATGCTGGTCCAGCCCTGACTCTCTGCCTTTTCTCTGCCTGTGGCCAGAGCTCGCTCTCTCCATCACCTGGGTCTCTTCTTCTCCTGTGATAAACCACAAAACCCCCTGTGGAGGACGGGGGCAGGCAGGCAGCTCTGCTCGGTGGTTGTAGTGGTGACAGATGCAGCCTAGTATCGCGAGAGAGCTCGGGAGAGTGGAAATGACTCAGATCTGCAGCTGGAGCCCAAGTGGAAGGCAAGACCTGGCAGTGTCTGCCACGGCTCATCACGTCCTCTTCCTGTGCTCAGTGTGGGATGTGCCATCACTGAGGGGATTGCGAGGCTTTGTAAGGTGGCTGTGCTGGGGCTGCAGAGCAGTGGGGCATGAGCAATCGTTGCTTTTATGAGGGAGCTTCTGGTTTCCTTCCTCATGAGGACAAGCTCAAGGGCCTTTCCCATGGTATATAGGTCCTTAGCACTCCTAGGGTTGAGTGTGAACTCGGACAAGGTTATTCAGCTGCTGGGATGTGCTTTCTTTCCTGTCAATTTGAGTTTGAATTCCCTTTTATTTCCCAGCTGACCGCTCTGCACTAGTTCCTGACTCACCACAAAATGCCATTGCAAAGTAGTCTTGCATCAGAGCCGCTGTCCATCAGCATGCCCGACTGAGTCGTTTTGTTCCTGTGCTGCTCGGTCCTTCTCTGTCCCTCTGTAACATGCCAATATACCCTTCCTTGAATTTTCTCCACCGGTCTCACGCATACTGGGATTATACTGGGAGGTTTGCTTATTATTCATTGCTGCCTGATTATGCTTGCTGATTCACCCTGAACTGTTGCTTTTTTTTTTTTTTTTTTTTTTTTTTTTTTCCTGTTTTAATGAATGAGAAGGCTATCCCAGTAGCTCCCAATTTAACTTCTGGGAGCAGAGGAAAATGTTAAGGCCACAGCTGCAGAGAGGGAATAAAGGGCTTGCTGAGGAAATTGCAAATAAACAGGCAAAAGGGGAATTTTTAGCAGGGACAGCCTCTGAGAAGGAGTTAATGTAAGGATAAGCTGAAGTGAACTGAACCATCTGTGTAGCTTGACCAAATCTTTTTGCAGCCAAATGGCAAGGAATAGCTTGGCCATTTATGACAACCATCACCAGAGCATTGCTCTGTTTTTCTCTGGAGAGTGGGAAGTGGCTAGCACCATATGGCTGGCTCTGTGAGGCAGGCGGCTCACTAAAGGGGACCTG